ACTAATGTGTTGTGGTTTAAGTTAGGGGCAATGCGACTAAAACAGAAATTAAAATTCAGGACATTACTTTTCAAAACGCGTTGCTTGAAGAAAACTGACCAGACACATTCAGTTTACCAGACTATTGAACAACTAGGAAAAGTGAAAAATAAACTTCCTATCACCAGCATAAATGCGTAATTATTTTTTTTACAAAAAAAGTAATTTTTCACTTTTGATTAAGTATCGCACCGTAGAATGCAGATACGGGCATGAAAAACACACTTCTGAAAAGCTTGACGTCTGACGATTCCAAAAATATATACTTTCCTGGGTCTATTTGTAGTCATTTGGTCACAATTAGAAGATGAAAACAAGTATGCAAAGAATAGTCCCGCTACCTTAAGTTGCTTTTTAATCACGTATTTATTTATTAATCACGACATATTGTTTAGTGAGTGAAATATTAATATCATAAATAATTCAATCTTTGAAACAACAGAAACTAACACAACGATAATCAAGTTTGTGTTTGAAGTTCGAAAGTAATTGCATAATTTCCGGTTTCAACGAGTTCCAAAATAGAACGTCCTTGAACGCGATGAAATCCGGCGTAGTACTCCTCCCGAACTAGACACTAGCAGCGTAAACTTATTGCAAATTTGCACAATTTTGGCCCAGTTTGTTCTTACATGTTTTCTAAGTTTCATTTATCATTATTTAGTAAACAGGTCCCTGAAACGATTTAATACATCCGTAAAATATGTGACAATCGACGATTGACTTCAAACGTTTGAAATTTCGAACAAACTCCCGGCACACCTTGCACCTTATGCGTCAGATCGGTGTAGAAGACGCCGACCTGCAGCGTCAATGGGATACTGGATGTTTAGGTGGATCAAAATAGCTGCCCACAATATGACGGATTACGATAACTATATTTTCTGTACATTTCCGATGTATTACATTGATAGTGGTGAGGCATGTTTTATTGTAAACCTTGAACATTGATATACATTATATGTCATGTCAGAAGGTCGTAGCATCAGTCTCGCTATCTACGAGATGAGACTTGAATGGGATCTTTGCATGATGTCACCATACAGTACTATGCGCGTTGCAAACCCCAAGTAATGTACCTCTGGTATTATTTATTATCATTTTCCTCCACAATTTCTAATGCTTCTTGTCTTTGCGATGAAAATTCGGGAAATAAATAATAATAAATAGTGCTGATTTATTCAATTTATTCTGATTTTCAGCCCTCGGTAACTGTGGCTGGAGTTTATTACTTAGACCATAGGCAGTGGATCAACTATTCACACCACACGGGTTTAAACACAGTTTAATTAGATCAATTCAGTCTATTAATTTGTTTTCCAATTTTCCACTATACTACACTTAAAGAAACGCAGCTATGAAATATGCCCACTTTGAAATGCACGGTAATATTCAAGTACATGGTCTTGGTATTAGAGAAATTAAGATGCGCATACGAGAAGGGAACGAGAACGGATATGTCACTGCTTTGTGCATGACATCCGCGCGAACCAATGACGTCATCGGTTGCCTGGTCGTACGGCAGTCGTTTTGAACGTGATCAAGGTGACTGACTCGTAGTTGATTTCCGAGAGCTTTTCTCGCTGTCAATTTTGATTAACTTTTCATTGACACTGATAAAACGTTTTATAATAAAGTGTTTTTGTATATTTATGATGAAATAAGAAATATTGGATGTATTTTAGCTGACATTTATACCCACTGAAAATGCATGACATTGATCTGCTGAAAGAGGATTCAGCAAACAGGCTTGGGACCTCAGCAAAGTGGATGGAAATAGTGAGAGCTCTGTCAAATGTCTGGGAACTAACTACTAATTCAGATTCCGGACGTGAAATGACATAACAAATTTTATTAGGTAGTTATGGTTGCCCAATGAGAGACGAATTGACATGGTTCTGTTTCAATTACGTTCCCGTTGTGGGCGCTTGTTCTTAATCGTTTAGAATTAGAACATCACATTACGTTCCCGTTACGTACGCAAATCTTAAACTCTCTACCATATGAACCATCAACCATCACAACTATTTATATATTTATACAGTATGTCTCTGGGGAAGAACTGTGAACTGATAAAACTTTAGTAGTTAAACTAAAATATTTTTCACAGACCGACTCCTGCATGAGGTGGAGGCTCTGTGCTGTAGGTTGAAGGAATGAACTCATGGATTAGACTGCAGAGTGCCTGTGCCAAATAAGCTTACCTGCTAGGTCAAACGATAGTCTGCATAAATAGTTTGACTAACTGTAGACTTTGGTCAGTGCCAGACCACATACAGAAAAAAATCCTGGCAAGTGGGAACTGTGGGTGCATCAGCGATGCTTCACGATCGACAACCCAATGGTACAATTTGTTTCTGACCAGTTGTCTGATGTTATGCTAATTCTGGTTGGCTGCATGCAATCAGATCTATGTGACTCAGACGATGAATGACAAGTTGAGAAACGTGTTTTTCAGATTCCTACAAATCAGGAAAAAAATATCGAACTTTCATAACCAAACTATTCGTTGGGGTAATATTAAGGTAACCACTAATACAATTGAACAGTGTTCAACATTTTGCATGGAAATATAATTTTATGAAACCCATTCCTTGAATAATAAAAAAATGTGTTAGACCTATTTAATTACTCTATTTTGATACAAATGTATGCACAATGAACTTAATCAGCATCCATGTGGTTGAATAGCACACAAATAAAACCAAAACATGCTGTGATAAAATACAAGAATTTCAGACTGGATAATGAACAAATAGTTACGTAAGTGGAGATCTATATTCAGTTTTAATTCCCTGAAGTGGAAATAATTGACAAGGGGCTCCATAATTAAAACTACCGGTAATATTGACCGAGGCTCAGCTTTGTTTTATTTTACTGAATAATTAAACATTACTCAAATATCAGAAGATGACATTTTGCTTTTTTTGAAAACACTACAACAGTGTTAATAAAAAAATCAAGAACACAGGATTTTCAACATTGAATCAGTCAATGAGTTTTATTCACTACCATGTGACTACATTCTGACCAATCAGTGAGAATCTTGAACATAAGGTTAACTACAGTAACAACATGAATTACTCCTGTGGTGCATGAACAATAACTCATAATAACGACAACTGTAAGTTTATCTTGAAACAAAATATCACTAAGAAGGTTAATATGTTTGGTGATTTATATAATCAACGGCTGTACCCGGTAACTATAAATGTGTGTTCGCCTTCTGATCGTGGATAATTCTAGCCTATGACATCACTCATATCAACCAGCGTTACGCACAAGTGATATCAGGTAATAACCTATAATTAAATATTTGTCAACAGGTTTTGCTGTACGGTGATGTTGATATGCTGAACAAGAAAGAGAATGTCATCTACATAAGTAATCACCAAAGTACGATAGACTGGATAGTTTGTGATTTTTTGTCTATCAGACAAGGAAGTCTTGGACATCTCAGATATGTACTCAAAGATGGACTCAAGTATTTCCCACTTTATGGTTTTTACTTAGGAATGGTACGTCACTTTTTTTTCCGTTTTTAAATTTTTTCAAGTGACAGTTGCGTACATTGAATATCACTGGTATCTCTCCCGACTTTATGTGCTAAATGCTGACACAGCGATCATATGTTGACGAAGTATTATGGTAATTTGAGAAAGCGACATGAGAAAAAGAAGAAAAAACGCATATTCTTTAAAAACTCTCAGATTATATTTCAACATTAAATTTTCAATTTATCGTTGGTTGAACTTTACTGACAGCTTGAGACTGCAGCACAGGACCGCACACGCTGGAGAACTGTCATTGATGGTCTACATGTATGTTTCAGGAGGGGAGACAGGTCAAAGTTGAATGAACTTTACTGCTATGTATTTGGTGCATAATTAGTCCCTGTTTGGACAAAATTCGTAAACGGGGACTTATTTTCTAGAGCCATATCTCTGACATGCCTTGTAAAATCATGTTCAAGCTATATATATTATATACATGTACATGTATGTATGATGTCAAATATGCACATTTAGTCATTGTACAATTCAATATAGCTGAATGGTGGCTATTTTAATGTTGAAAATTCATTGAAATCAAGCATTCTGACCATACTGGAACCAGATCTCAGTTGTGTGTGGTAGATTGAGCTCATACATCAGACATGATAGGGCCTGGATGAAAGTCATTTTGTTTTTTAGATCTGATTCAAAATGGCTGCCTGGTGGCCAGTTAGTTTTAACAAATTTGGTTCCAGACCTGTATCTCGGACATTCCCTTACCAAACATTTTCAAACTGTAGATATACATCCTGCATATGTATTCATTTGACAATTCAATTCAAGATGGCCAAATGGTGGCCATTTTAATGTTAAAATTCGAAATCAAGCATTTCTGCCATTTTGGAACTAGATTATGGTCATGTACATTGTATTGATGTTTCATCCTGTTTGTTTTTTCATATTTAATATTATAGTACCGTAAAAAAAATAATACAAACAAATCTGTACATACATGTACCAGGTAATAATAAACAGCAAAAGATAATAACAAAAATATAATTATAAATATGTATATGGTGAAAGCTCAATCTTTGATACATAATTGTGGCTGCAGCTCAATTTGATATTTCAACTGTGAAAGCAACAGATTTTTGACATCTTAGTAAAACCACCACTACCGGTACATTTTATTCATGTACAACAGTACTAGTATATTTATCTGTTCTTAGCATGGTGGTGTTTACGTAAAGAGAAGTGGACAGTTCCAAGAAAAAAAGTTCATACGAAAACTAAACAGATATTCTAAGTATAATATACCAGTAAGTTGATATATTATGACATGTGATCAATATGCTAATTAATTCTCCATATATGGATTTTACCTGTTAAGTGACATGTGATCAATATACTAATTAATTCTCCATATATGGATTTTACCTTTTAAGTGACATGTGATCAATATGCTAATTAACTCCATATATGGTTTATACATGTAAATTGATTGATTATGTAAAAGACTCTCAGAAATGGAAAATATCATTGTATCATTTAGCTATAATTGTTCTATTTTAGTTATAGATCATAATAGCATTTACATTTTAGTGTTTAAAAGTTAAAAAAATATTTCATTCATGTATTTCTTGAATAATACAATCTTTCTTTCAAATTTGAGGCTTTGAGTTAAACACAGACTGACTATCTATTTGTATAATTAAATTACACTAATTTTATGTTATTCTGTATCACAGCTGTGGTTGGTCATCTTCCCAGAGGGTACACGCTACAATCCTAATTTACCAATTGTTATTCAGAAAAGTCAAGGCTTTGCTTACATGAGAGGTAAACACCTAGGATATATGCATAAAATAAACATTGTTAATATTTATTTATTTTTGAACAAAAGTTAAAGAGGAACCACTCAATCCCTTGGATTGCACCAAGTGCTCATGGGTAATTAACGCCGCCTCTGTCCACTGAGTAAATGAATGCTTATCTTTCCCCCTGTACCGCTAATCTCACAAAACAACAACTGATATAAACATCCTAAGAACGGATTACAATTTGCTTGTTTAAATATAACATAGCAACTGAATTTCAAACAAATACAGAACAGTCTTCATGTGCCATGATTTGAAACATTGCGCGCTCAGTAATTTATACATCATTACAAAAATATGACGTGGAACTAATTCAAGTTGATGATGGCCAACAAGAAAAGGCGACAGTCCACCGGAAACACACGGCCAGAGTGTTGCTAAACGGTCGCGAAGAAAATACGTCGACTCAAGTTTATTTGCCTGTTTCCGTTGCGTCGGTCTATTGACGGTACTGAACTCGTATAAAGTAAACCTGAGAACGAAACTTCCTATGCACATTCTGTATACTACTCCTCCAGACTGCTAATATAACAAGTGTGAAAACACAAAGTCAATGACTTCTGTTTTCATATTTCCGTCACAAATCTGTAAACAGAACGTGTATTTACTATTGCCCTCAAATTTCCAAATTGACTAATTGGTAGAGGCGACAATGAAAAAGTTTACTGTATATTATAAGTACAGGTTATTACACGGAAATTCCCGTGATACAATATGAAAATCATCAGTAAAGAAAAGTCACCGCGACATCACAGGCTTATCTTGTAACCTGTTTACGACACTCGTGTGGAAAATCAAAATGTACACACGGGTGGTACCGGCTTGTATCTCTTGTGAGATTTGAGTTCTTGTGATCTGGTGGGTGAACGTCGGGTTGACTTTACAGTCAAAATAGGTGAGGGGATAAGAGCGTTCTGTCAAAACAATTTTACCGTAGACTCAATTTTAACAACCAATCTGCAGAGTTGTATTTATTATAAATAAGAATCCAAAAATAGAATATAAATACACACATACACTCGATTAAATTTTCTGGACATATATACGACGCATGAATGAAAACGATCTATTGTAAATGATATGAATTGGAACTGCCTGTGACTTGTTGTCTGGGTGCCGTTTCGTCCTACAGTCAAATACAGAAACAAAAACTGATTTATTTTCTTATGCCAAGACCTGGTTGTTCATGCATTTCAAGCATGGCATATTTACTTCTTGTACTCTGTGGTGTGTGCTGTGGAAACGTCTGATTTCACGGTTTTGAGCTGTCGAAGTATTTTGCGAAAAATAAAACAAAGGGTAACACCATATGAAGCAGTCGGGCCAATGTCTTGTTAATATCCGAAACTTGGAACCTCTAACAGAACGGTTATTTCCTGCACGCCTACCTGTATTACACAACTACCATTTGCACCTCATTGCAGTCTGACACTTATTCACTGTACCCCTTCCTTTTTCCAGACTGTCTAGAAAGTTATGCAAAAAGTTTCATCCCCTAGAAAACACAAGTCTTTGCCGTACAATCAAAAGAAAAATGTCCACATAGTAGTAACCAACATCGTTCTGGCGTTCCTAAAAAAACACTGCATTGCTTAGTAGCAAATAATCACGGTAGCGCAATCCGACCATGCTATGTTTCACAATTATTATTATTACTTGGTAGTGATTAATAAATAAATTAATAAAGTACAAAAAGTAAACATCGTTGAATTGTTCTGAAATGCAAGTAAATTTCAATTTAGTTTCATCGATTCCGGTCCCATGCAAATGCTCGACACCTTATAGGTCAAATCGCTAATCAGCCAGTCAAAATACTCGATGATGCCAACGTGTTCAAATTACCAAAACTGAGGAGATTTGCTGATGTTTCATCTCGATCGTTGGTTTTGATAGGAAGACGGCACGTTTTTTTTTTTGGGAAATCAAAACATTAGTTGTTTTCGATGATAAACTGACCATTTGAAGACTATTTTTACGATAACAGCTCATTGTCGAATCGAAGCTTTACCCATTCACGCTAACCACAATAAACGTTGTACTCTTGAATTCGTAAGATTGTGGGTCAGGAGTGAGTGTTGTTTTGACTTGGGTATTGTGTTTTACATTTCAACAGGAAATTTTTGCGTGGTTTTATTTTCGCGGTTTTGGACTCACCGCAAAATTTAAACCACGCGAACGATTTCTACTTCTACATTTAATTTATTGCAATGGATATCCGAAAGCCTGTAATCTAACGTTATTGACATTGTTTACTGTCTTACGTTGTCATGTCCCAGTGTTACCGACGGTTAGACCATGGAGGTGGTTAGACATAGACAAACTACGTAACGATAATGCTGTTTGTAAACCAACAAGCTTTGTAGATTGAATAAACATCTAGGGGATTTACATTTTCGTTTACTCAAACTGTGATTGACAGGAATTTTGCATACATTAGCCACCATTTTAAACTCGTGATTTTCACTGGTCGCGGCACATTTCGACCGAAAATAACAACATTTATAAATCAAAAGCCCAACCAGACGAGTGTAATCGCTAGCATACATATTCATGCCCCATGAATATGTATTTGGAACCACAGCTTGATTTCCAAACATCAAAAATGGCATATTTTTTGGTTTGGATTAGCATACTAATACGTTGACCATCTTGACCTTTATTTATAGTGTCGGTTCCCCTTTAAAAATGTTAAAATATTAAGCAAACAAATATTGTATTTACTCTATCAGTGGTGCATGAACTTTGGTAAATGACGGACGCGGACCATATTTGAATTAATTAGTTTACAATAAAAGCAATCCTTCATTCATATGTGCTTCTATTGGAGGTGTGCTGCAAATACGGTACTTGCCGATCTCAGATTAATGTTGTGAAGATTGCAAAAATTAATACTGTGGAATATTTTATTTTCTCTGGAATTAATTTTCGCTGAAAAGGCTTTTTGGGCCTTTTGCTTGGAATTCATTTTCACTGATTTTTAATGAGATTAATGTGAAATATAGAAAAAAAAGTATATTCTATTATATATTTTATTTTCACAGAATCGTCCCTTCAGCAAAAATAAATTCCAAGCGAAAATAAAGTATTCTACAGTATTTTTCAAAATTGAATTGAATTCAGACAAAATTTGAAATTTGATGATTGTCCTTTCACATAAATTTAGATAGATTCCCTGTGCAACACATGGTGATTTTTAGTGTATATCTACATATCTAATATACGAACATTGTGACAGATGTCACATGAATTATTTCAATTATTCAGAATATGTACTGTTTAAGCTCATTTAGAATTACAGCTTTGACCATTCAGGTATTTTTACTGTACATACTAGTAGTATGTGGTCATCATGAGGTTGATGCAATCCAGTTCTGCCTTAGCACATATTTTGCCGTATTCTCATAAGCTTATTATTATACATTTTTTTCCTGCTTGTAGTAATATTCTAATTAGAGTTAACTGCTCAAAATGTCGAGTAAATACTTTTACTGTTGTACGCACATTTGTGCTCAGAGTTCGTTTATTAGTCCCCGTTCGGATGAAGTCCGAAAACAGGGACTTATAATTCGGTGTGCATCCGTGCGCCGTTCGGAGTCATATTTCAGAATCCTGTGGACCGATTCCGTTCATTCTTTGCATGTGCCTAGTACCTTATGTGGGACATATGGACATGCAGTGGTTTAGCGATTCGATTCAAAAGGGCCGACTGGCAGCCATCTTGTTTTTTGAAAATGTTTTATTTTGGACATGCTTTGTCAGTTGTCATTCAAACTTGGTACATAGATTATACATGTTAGGATACATGTCCATGATGATTTATTTCGCAATTGGATCAAAGATGGTCGACTGGAAGGCATCTTGTTTTTTTTATATGCGGTATCTTGTACGTGCTCTGGCAGTTTTCATTCAAATTTGGCATATACATGTACTTTATACATGTTAGGATGCATGTCCATAACAATTTGTTTCAAAATCTGGTCAAGAATGGCCGATTGACAGCCATCTGACTTTTTGACCATACTACTATATTCCCACTATTTATGTATCATTTTCATTTTGGCGCATACATCATACATATCAGTGTGTTTCATAATCAGATCAAAGATGGCCGAATAACGGCTGTTTTTTATTTTTGGCCATATTACAACTACACGGAACACATGTTTTGATGTAAATAAACAATCTGTTGTATACGCCACTTGGAACTGAAGTTTCAAGGTCACGCTCACGACAACCCCTCTGCTTCAATATGACGAGCACAAAGAGAATTTTCAAAAATTTAACGGGGACTGCGTCATTCTCAATGACTTGTCTAATTCCATCATGTGGAGTTTTGCTTTAGATTCCAATGTACATAAAAATACAAAATACCGGTATTGCTGTTTCTGGGATTCTGATTTCTACAACTGGCCACATTTTAACAAATAAAAGTAGTAGTCTCCGAATTAGCTCTGAATTTGAAATGTTTTCAGGAGATGTTAATTTCTCCCAGAATTTCATGCATAATCTACATTCAATCATTCAGTACATGTATTTCACAGGGACTATTAATAAATAACACACATAATTGGCCCAAAAGTAAATGGACAGGGTATTAAAGCGGGAGTGTCGTCACGCACACAGACGACCATAGCATGTTGTTGTTTACAAACAAGTATCTACCCACAAGCCTTTGCATTGTTTAGAACTCAGTTCCCAGGTGTCTACAGGTGTTTACGACCCCTCTGATTTAATCACTTCTCATCTTGCAGGCTACACTGTATTAAATCAAGTCCTGACACCGCGAGTAAAAGCGACGGCCGGAAGTCTGAAAATACTGAGACAACATATTGATGCCATTTATGATATTACTATAGCATACGAATGGAAGAATGACAACTACGTGAGACGAGCAGGTCCTGATATGACAGGTATGAAGTTCGTTGACACTGACAAGATAATTTACACCTCACTTCTTAATAATGTTGGCTGTCCATTTATAACACTATCGAATTTTAATCAAATGCAATGCACAGTGTATATTACAGTATATTGTGAGCAGTAATAAGGAATATGTTTTCATTTTTTTATCATCACAATTTTAAGATTGTAGAAGAAGTTCTGTGGATTTTCAGGATAAAATTAATAACAGTTGTAATGGAAATTAAAAAAACAAATGCATGCAAGCAATTTTTGTGGATAAACAGACTAGAAAATTTTTTTTTGTTTTGTTTCTGAGCCCAAATGAGTCTGTTTTAAACACTTTGTATGTTCGTAA